CTTCCGAGAACCATTTCCCTGGTTGCATTTGCACCTAAAAACTGTGAAGTGATGTATGTAAACTGGCTGACAGCAACTATCAACAAAATCAGTACCTGAAAGATAAAATCTGCAATTATCTGAGCTGTGTTTCGTGGTAATTGAGATGCATTTTTAGTTCTGTGATAGAAAAAGCAAAAAGAAGGATTTCATTGAGGTTGAGAAAAGAACAATAGTTAGCTAGCAGCTAGCTCTCACATGTTCCCCCACTAAAGCTACGAAAAGTGGTTATGGTTAGTTCCTAGACAAAAAAACACATGGAAAAATCTAGGTTGCAGCTTTAAGAGGTGCTAATGAGTAGGGTGAGAATTACAGGGAGGGTTAACCTCCCTAAATTAGGACTGATTTCCCCTGAAAGATGCAGCCCGCAGCTTGGTGACGTACCGAACGAGGTCCACTATGTAATGGACAAACGCCTACGCCTCCTCCTACCCTAAACCCAACCGTCACATTAGTATGGGCGTTGCCTTATTGAGTGGTAAATGTTTCACTACAAATGGGACCTGCTCCAGCCCGTCATCGGGATTACATACTGCAGCAAGGACATCTTAGAAAGATGTCAATATTAGATGTTGGGGGGCTTTGCACTGATATGTGTCTTAAGTAGTAATATTATTCATAGCATTGTGAATACCTGATTGCAGCCAGCAGGTTATACAGGAAAATATACCAGATCCAGCCTAATCAACACCATAAGTTTTCACTTATAAAATGGGTGATTGTATTTATCTTTAGTAAAAGTAAAGTAAAATACAAATGTTGTGTATTTTAATAGATGCCTGTGCTAGCACATGAAACTACTGAAAAACAAAAGCTGCCCCCACCCAATAGTGTTTGTATATTTCTCAGTTAAAGAGACCAGCAGAGGGTGCTTACCCTGTGGGTCTTAGTGCCCAGTATAGTGATGGGGACACTATACTTTCAGAAGGAAGAAGTACCGTCTTCTGGATTAAAAGTTAAACTGACTCTCTGTGGACACTAAAAACCCCAAGATGCACTTCAAAAATAGAAGGGGTGTGTCCCCTGCATCCTGGCCTGTCCACCATGCTCTCTTAACCATCCCCTTATTATCGAATTGGTCCGGTGCAGAATAGCTGCAGTCGTATTAACTCTCAAGTGCTATAAAATGTTATGAATTACTTGTTATCCTTCCTAGAACCAATCCCTCCTACACAAAATGTGGGTTTCTCCTCTAGGAACCATAAATAATTCAAAAAAACATAATGATAAAGCAGTTAAATAGACTGGGATTAGTAAGAGGTCAGAGCACCAGGGTCATGACCTTACTCTTCATGTGAAGTGCTATGGGATTTTTAATGACCACAGAGCGCCTCATGTGAATAACAGGAGTCTTTACCTATATACTGGGGAATTAGGAAGTGCAGACTCCAGGGTAAGTACCACTTCCAGTAGCAACCTAGTTTTCCCAGTAAGTCGAGGCACTGACCGGGATCAACCCTGCTTAGCTTAAGTGGGCAACCAGCCTAGGGTTAAAGGGTGATACGGACGTGGCATATCTTATTATCATCAGAACAGACTGCAATTATATAATAAAAGAAAAACAAATCAGTGGATTTCATCCAGCTTACAAATTCATCAATAAAACTTCAGAATTTATTAAGGTAAAAATAAGGAGTTTTCTCATCACGAAATCAATCGGGAAACATCATCACCCCCCATCCTCAAAACAAATGTACCATTCATTCCCAGTGAATGTTCACAGTATTGTTAGATTTGCTATTAATCTACATAATCTATCGTGGCCTTGCTCAGACATGTTTTAATAGTTTTAATCATTCTCATTGTTATTTGCGTAAGCTCAAATTTTAGAGATCCTGATCCAGAGATCCTGTTTCTGAACACAAATATAATTTATGGTCCACAATATTGACCTCAATTCAGAAGGGTACAGGGAAGAACCTGCCGCAGTTAAGTTCAGTTCAGCCAGAAATGTGCCAAACCAACAATGTACATGATAGGATTCGTGCCCTGCTGTGTGCGACGGCTGTAACCTATAGACTTAAGACTCCAAAGCAATAACAAGTATTTACAGACATATCAGCTGGAAAAAGGAGTTGGCACAGTCCATTGACAAAGTAGTAACCACAAGAGATGCATGTTTGTACAGCATATTCACATATACATGAAGACAGGAAAAGATGCGGATTTTCCCTTCCTTCCAACTGAGGAGCTAACAAATAAATTCACCAAAAAAAACAAAGAATAACGGGCAAGGCAGCCCACTGAAGGCCAGTCTTAATGAAAGTTTTCCAGCTTGCGTAACCGCAGGGGATTGGAGGGCAAGGCCTGGGCGTTTGGAGTGGATGGCTCTTGTTCTGGAGTGCGGAAGAGAACTCTGCCTCGGTGATTGAACAGGTAGAATGATGGGTGATTTCTCAATGTGTCAAATGTCCTGTTACAACAAAAGAGATACAAGTGAGGTCGATATCATCAGCAGATTTCTGATTCAGCCAGGAGTTCCTAGGGAAATAAATGTGCATGTACTTACTTGTTTTTGAGCTCTGAGGACGCGTCCATGTCTTTAAACTCGCCTGAGATGTGCACGATGCCATAACACGTGATCACAAATGATAACAACGTCTGTAACACTATCTGCAAACACAACACAAGAGAAGCTGACTTGAGGAGGAGAACGACAAATCAATGTGATTTAGTATGAGAAGCGTTTTCTGTTTCGCAACTTACATCTATTGGTAATGTTTCGTTCTCCTTTTCTGTCAGTCTCATGTAGGATCGGTCTGGAAGAAAGAAACAAAGAGGTGTGACTGATAGCAAAACAGCAGCATAGCACCGTAGTAGCAAGTAGCATGATACCAACATTCATATACATTAATGGATATAAAGTCGGTTTTATATTCGGATATTCAGACATTCTTCTAAATAAAACATTTTCAGAAGTTTTTTTTTTGCAAATTCTAAAAAGAGAAATCATATTAGCAGGAAATGACTATCAAAGTGCAGCATTGTTCACAGTGAATTAGATTAGTGTTAATGTTGTTTATAAGTCATACTTGCATGCTAATTCCGATCGAATATTCAAAGTAACATGGTAAACAATGTAGAGACTGCTAAATAAACGAATGTGCAAACCAATTTTAAACCAAAACCAATAAAACCAATAAAACCAATTTCACCTCTATCATTTATGGTACAGCCAGTTATATAGTAGTAATGTGGACTGTTAAATAATGGTACTTATTTATCTTGTAAAACAGACCAGTGTAAACAACAAACATGCTTCATTATGAATGCCAGGCTAGTAATTGGAGATTTTACTTTGTAAGGCAGTCTCTAAAAAATGATATCGTTTCAATTATGTTACTTTTTATTGTGTTTTAAAAGATAATAAGACAGATAATTGTCAATTCTACGGGTCAGATACGCACAGATAAGACGAGTCTCTGTTCAATGAGTCGAGCAATGAGCCGAGCTATCGTGAACGTACAGAAACTGTCAAAGATTCAAAAACAATCGACTCAAATGAATCAATCGGACATCACCACGGCAAAAATAGCAGATGAAGCATTATTTGGAAAGAAAACAAATGCCGGTTGGGAGTTACTTGTGAATTAATGATACCTCACAAGAAATGTTAACAAACACGCTGTCTTTGTGGGTGTAGTTTGAATATGGTAATGTAACATAGCAAAGAGAATCAGGATACAATCTGAAATACAATTCATACTGCGTAACGTAATATTAAACGCATCGACAAACATTGGCACGATCTGATCGTTCACAAGTCTCAATCCGACAGACATGATCAGTGGTTTAAGCTAGAAGAGAACTTCTTTAGCGTTCATTGTGCTGTTATAAAGGTTGTGTCTCACAACCTAGCGAGCTGCCTACCTAGACAGCATTTTCGGGCAGACTACACGAGTGCGAGCGCACTCCAAAATGCTGTCTAGATAGTGAGCTCTGCAGTTTGAGTGCAGCTGGAGCTGTCATGAGCTCTGCAGAGAGAGAGAGAGAGAGAGAGGCCGCATCGCCGCCAGAGCACAATCAGCCCCGGCTACTCAGCAACAGAACAGTCTGTCCTCAACCTCCAGTTTCTGGATCAACAATACTTACGCTGTGCCGCTGAAAAAGCCGCGTGTGCCAAGGCGAATAGTCCTATACCGACAACACCTTTCCAGAAGGACGAGGCCATTTTCACTCGAGCACAACCGATCGAGCCAGTGGCGAGGCGCGTGAAGCACTCGTCAATGAGCGCTGCGTCATCACCGCCGCCGCACTAATCGCACTTCCGGTGGCCCACTGCCGCTTTAAAACGCAATTAAACCTGATTTAAACAGAACGCAGAAATAACTAACTGTGTAGACTTTCCAAGATGAATTTAACTGTTTTACAATAAAATATAATGTTAAAAAAGTCATGTTTCATGTGCTAATACAAACATTTATTTCCCCCTTCAGTTTGAAACATGCAGTTTGTAGTTTCTAAAAAAATAACGTATAATATATTTGATTTCAGCTATGATTTAAACAACACAATAAAAAACTAAATAAAACACTCTTGTTTTAGTGTAAATTAAATAATACACTCCCATAGTTTTTATAAATATTTTGGATTTGTTTTTATGGTTTTTTATTACGTTTTTATGTATTTTTTTGCGTTCTATAACGGTAATTTTTTCACTTTTTTAAATTGCCATTTATATTTAATTATGTTTTAGTTCAGTTTTAGTTTTATATTGATTTCAAAATGATATTTTGTTTTGCGTAAACTTTGACCGCAAATTCGACGTTTCCAGCTTTCATTTTTCACATTTTTTTAATATTAAGTATTTGTTGTATATTAAACAAGTTGTCTTTCTTATAAAAAACTAAAAATGAATTTTAATTTTGTTCGACAACAGTGACGATGCAGATAAATGTTAAACTTCTGCGCACCGTTTGTCCACCGATGACCGGCACGAACACATTTTGCTACGTTTTCACGTGACGTCAGTTCAGTGGGCGGGGCGTCGTCGCGAATCAGGAACAATCTCCAAGAGCCTATGCTGGTATCGGCTAAAGCCTCAGCCGATGTACAGCGATCGTAAACATCGCGCCTTCACCTTCTTACACCTTTACACCCAAAAGAAATGCAAACATGGGCTCTACAAGTGAAATGAAGGCAGTCGCGATGCGTGTCTGGAGAAGACTGCCCGTACATGTGTTTGTTTTGGCGAGTTCCCTCTGCCTGTGCCAGTGCGGAGCTGAAGAAGACAGCGCGATGGAGAATATCGTGACAGAGAAGAAAGCTGAAGAAAGCCACAGACAGGACAGCGCCGACCTTCTCATCTTCATCATGCTCCTCACCCTCACCATCCTCACCATATGGCTGTTCAAGCACCGCCGCTTCAGGTTTCTGCACGAGACTGGACTGGCGATGATATACGGTGAGAGGAAAGGCGTGATCGTTTGCATCTCTGCCCGCTCATTTGATGAAGTGTGCCGTGAACAGCGTCTTTTCCTATATAATAGCAACAGCTGCATGAGATCTGGTAGTTTTGGAGTACGTCATGCTTGATTATGACTGTCCAAAGGGTAGTTTAGACACTGGAAAACAGGGCCTGTGTGCACAGTGTTGCTGTCCAGCAGGAGTTAATCTGCCTCACTGCTTTACCTGCGTATGCTGGGCTGGTTAGTAAACAATGCGGCTAATTTAAATGGTGTCAAATTTTGAAGCTTTTAAAAGTTCCAAGACATGTGTAAAATGATAAGAGTCTGAAGGGTTTCCACATGAAATTGAGATAAAGTTGGTTTTATTTTCGGAAATTCAGACTTTTTCCTTAATTATTTGACTTCAGAAAAGTATTATTTGCAAATTCTGAATAGTAAAATAATTTTATCAGCCAATGACTATAAAACTAAAACGTTTTTTTATTTACAATGAATTAACCCCATCAAAGCTGAATTATTGCCCAGATCAGTATATTAGATACTTGAATATATGTTCCTAAGACTCTCATAAATGCCATTTCAACCAGGTCAATACCGTTGTACTGCACAAACAATATAACAATGTGAAATTAAAAATAAAATAAATAATACAGATTGTTAGACACATTATTAGAACTCAGTTCATTATAACAGACAGGCTTATTTAATGTCCAAACTCACTGTACATTATACTGAACAGATATATTTAACATTTAAACCATTAAATATGGATTTTTGATTGGATGATGAAAGTCCAACATAAAGGACATCAAGGCTCTGAATTTGGTAAAATGCTCTGGAGGGCAGCACAGTTGCGCAGTGGGTAGCACAATCGCCTCACAGCAAGAAAGTCACTGGTTTGAGCCCCGGCTGGGTCAGTTGGCATTTCTGTGTGGAGTTTGCATGTTCTCCCAGTGTTTGCGTGGGTTTCCTCCATGTACTCCGGTTTTCCGGTTACCAAAGACGTGTGGTATAGGTGAATCGGGTAAGCTAAAATTGTCCAGAGTGCATGTGAATAAGCTTGTATGGATGTTTCCCAGTGATGGGCATCTGCTGCGTAAAACATATGTTGGAGTAGTTGGCGGTTCATTCCACTGTGGCACCCCAGATTAATAAAGGGATTAAACAGAATGAAAAAATGCTCTGAAAGCAAAACAAACAAACAAAAACAACTGTTTTGACGTAGTGTCCATTGTAATGCACTCAGGGTCTGAAAGAGTTGTGCTAATGTTGTTTTCAATTCATTCTTACATGCTATTTCAGACCCAATATTGAAATATTGTGGTAAACAATGAAGGGACTTTGTCATGAGTAGGTCCACACTGAATCTGCGAGCGCAGAAATCCGCAAATTTCTGCAGATTTGTAGCCCATCATTGAGTCAATATGTTTACTTGTGTAAATTTATATTTATTCAGTTTTTAAATTAAGTTCAGTAATATTATTAACTAATATGAAAGTGCTCATTTGATTTATTTACAATATAGATTGTAAAGTAATATTTTCTGTCTTTTGGTAGATATATTATATGATAGACTTGCTTTGTTTATTAAATAAGTGGTTCTAATTGAATTTGCTTTGTAAACATTAAATAAAACAAACAACAAGACATCAGTACATAGCGCTAATCCGCCTAGCCTGCTTTACTGAGCTGAAGTTGGTTTAAATTCACATTGGTTCATTTTTGAACAATGATAACCTCTAATGATGAGCTCCCTAAATTGTTTACCATATATACCAGTTGTAGCTTTAGGACAAAGCCTGTGAGACGGTGAGACCAGCGATCCTTGCATGCATGAAATATTGCACATTATGACAAGTTTTGCTCGCTACAGTACACAACTGAAAAGATGCAATATATAATGCAGTTTTTCGTTCGAAATTGAAGTGTTATAAGTAGTCAAAAAATTTCTAGCTGACGAATGACATGATCTAGTGCAGTGGTTCACAAACGCTTTTCATCAAGTACCACCTCTGAAAAAAATTGTCTTTGCAAGTACCATCATAATGAGCAGTTTTGAAATACAGTAGCGTATTAGGTCTAGTAAAGCAGCTTAAGCTCTGTACAGTTCAAAAAAGAAATAACTCCTGGTTTATCAGCACCTGGAAATGTTGCCTGGACCTCATAAATATAGGCTCTATGTCATCATATTCATATATAAATCATTTTTGATAATTTCTTTAAATATATGTTGCATGTACATATTACATATTTGATTAATCCGCGTACCACCAGAAGGAAGCCTGCGTACCACTAGTGGTACACGTACCACAGTTTGAGAACCACTGATCTAGTGGGTCTCTGTCATCTTTATTGTGTGCATTTTTTATTTCATTTCAGGAGGTGTGGCTTGAACGGCAGGGGAGGGACTGTTTCAAAGATATTATCCTAACAGATAGCATTTAGGCTGATCACCCACTGCACACTACAGTACTAGAGAGTAATTAGTATTTTCTTAAAATTAACGTAGTACTTTTATCATGTGACCCTGTTATAACTGAGAAATCAATTGATTATTTTTTTTTCTTTCTTTAGAAAAGATTTTTTTTAAAAAGTTTTTATAACCTAAAGGGTTATTTGCAACCAGGCATAAATCATCCCTTAGAAAAATGAATAATTTTATAATGGTTTATTGATCAAGAGATAAAAGGAACCACTGTTTTAATACAATTAAACTATGGTTAGTCTTGTAAAAACATGGCAAATTTTTCGTTGCAATGGAATAACTGCAAGTACCATTTTGGTTAGTTTTCAAAAGTCTTTGTATATATTGTCATTTTTCAGTTTTAGTTTTGTTTTCAGCTTGTTCCATGCTTTTGTCATTTTTCCAGATACTTTACCTATTTAGGTTTGATTTAGTTTGATGTCAGCTTTAGTTTTATTTTAGGTTTGGGCAATGTTTGTAATTTGTAAACTTTTTTTTTTTCATTAGATTAAAAATTTCAGAAATGTTTCATTCAAATTTTAATACTTAATATATGATATCTAATATAATCTAATATCTAAGGTGTATATTTTATTTAATTTAGTAATATTTGTAAGGATTCTTTACATTAACTTTTGGTTTATTTTGCAAAGGCAGATGCGTTTCGAGATATGTTGTGATTTGCTCACAGCCGCATCATTTTTGAGCATCACCATTTTGTAATTGTTTTTTTTTTTAGTAATTTCAGCTCCTGTTATGCTGAGAAAGTGCATAGGTAGCCAACTTATACATGACATTGTGTTGTAGAATTGTAAACAAGTAGCTTAATACAAACCTGAAATTTACTGTATCATTGAAAAAAGACAACGCTATATTTCTCTCTCTCTCTCTGTCATCAGGGCTGCTTGTGGGTGTTGTCCTGCGTTATGCTATCCATGTGCCCAGCGACATAAACAATGTTACGCTGAGCTGTCATGTCAACGCCAGTCCAGCCACACTTCTGGTCAATGTCAGTGGTAAGTTCTATGAATACACCCTGAAAGGAGAGATTGGTGCCAATAAAGTCAATGACATCCAGGACAACGAGATGCTCCGCAAGGTAAAATATCACATCACAACAGCAGTTTGACCTCCAGCACAGAATCAGATGAGTTAAATAGAAAGCTGCATTTCAAGCACAAATGGTGTGGGGAATTGAGTGTCTATTTGAATATGACTCCTATTTGCATCTGTATTTTTAGGAAGGTAGCCACTAGCCTGTCTGTCCGCTGAATGCCTTTGTGTACTCCCAGATGCTTCAAACAAATTCCTCATTTAACTTTATACCAGTAATTTAATTTTGGCACACATACTCCCACATACCAATTCAGCGCCTGACAGAAGTAATCTGTGGTTGGTTGTTTGTTCTCTAAATTGTAATTCTCTGTTAAATCAGTCCTGTGATGATTGAACTTGAATGCTTCTCTTAGCTGAAACATCAGTTGAAGAATTGCATGGTGCGTTTTTGTTGTTGTTGTTTCAATTCATTTACATAGACAGTCACTTATTTAACTTATTTTAATCAAATAATTTAGAAAAGGTGGTTTTCAAAGGTGCAGTATGTAAGTTTGAGACCCAGTGGTTGAACTTGTTATTGCACTCCTAGATCAAAATATATTTTCACTCAGCTCCTCCTCTGATGAGTCCATGCAAGCTAAGGTTGCCAGATTGGGTGTGCCTGACTATCGAGCCTAAAGACTGATTTAAGGCAGATAGAAAATTATTTATTTAAAGGAGTTTTTGTTCTAACAAACACCTGAAATGTATATTTTAGAAATGGCTACTGTTTCTCACAGGTGAGTAACAGAATAAACTGATCACCTCAGGTACACCTCATGTGCTTTACTCAGTGTTAAAGGCCAATAATGCAAGTTTGAATGCCATTTTACATGACATTTATTGCCATACTACAGATCTTGAAAATAAAATGAACCATTTGAAATTGAACTTTAGAACTGTGACTCACTGTGCAAGCCAACACATATCAGTGATTCATTGTCTACATTTAATAACTTTAAAGAGGCTTAATATGTATTAATTATATTGAAAATCTTACCATTTCATTGGAATGCAGTAAGTGCACTATTGTGTTCTTCTGAATGGCTGAATTTAAATGTCGTGTTTCGTCTGGTGCAAACAGCTAAATTGCTTATCACTGCAAATCTCGTCATGTAGCGTGTTGTTAGGACACAAGGTTACAATGTACCCTAATGTTTATGTTTGTAATATTTATATTAATTGCTAATTAATAACTAACTCATGTAGAATTCTGAACTTAACTCACATTTTCACGTGATTCACATTTTCAAACAAAATATCTTTAGCATTGTTATTTCAGATAAACAAGAATGCAAAAAACTTACATACAGCACCTTTAAAGGAATACACAGGTGTGGAAAAAAATTGAGGCCATCTGAAAATTCACATTTATTTCTGGGATCATGATTTATAGTTGTATGTATATTGGTGTATTGTTTTTTTTTAATCCTGTAAACTACTGACGAATTTTCTTCAAAATTTCAAATAGAAATGTTGTCATTTAGAGAAATTTAGACAACATGTTACCAATCTTTTGACTTTGGAAGAGTTATAACCCTTGTTTTTAACCACAACAAATGAAAACATCTGTTATACATATGTCCTATTGGTCTCCTAATTTTTCTCCTAATATAGAGCTGTTCAGTGGTTTGGAGTCAGTGCTTTTGAATAGCTGTGTATTGATTTCTCATTATTCTAATACATGTAAATGAAAGTCTACCTTTCTTATTGCATTTCAGGTGACCTTTGACCCTGAGGTCTTTTTCAATATTCTCTTGCCTCCCATCATTTTTCATGCTGGCTACAGTTTAAAACGAGTAAGGCTTTTCCCTTTTTAATAAATTATACATTTCAGATGTTGTGTGCACAAGTTGATGTAGCTCATATCAAAGCCAAATCAGAGGTCATTATTCATTAGAATTGTTTTGTGTCTGTTTCGTGTTTCAGAGACATTTCTTCAGAAATCTGGGCTCTATTCTTGCCTATGCGTTTGTGGGAACCGTTGTGTCGTGTTTCATCATTGGGTTAGTGTGTACACGTGGTCTTTTTTTTTTTTCAAGTGGTTGCTCCAGAACTGAGAGTGAGATTTTTAGTCTTGTGCGGTTTGTTTTTCAGGGCGTTAATGTATGGTTGTGTGATGCTGATGAAGAAAATTGGTCATCTGCAAGACGACTTCTTCTTCACTGATTGCCTTTTCTTTGGTGCAATTGTCTCAGCCACTGATCCAGGTATTACAGTCCTTACAGCAGAGCCTAAATGTGTTTCTGAGTAGATTCTCAAATTTTCAAAATACTTAAAATGTTAAAAACTGAACTCAGAAACGATTCACAAGAGAGTAATGATGCAATTTAAAAATCTCTGAATTAATTTCTCAAATGATTTTTTTGCCACAGCTTTATTTCTGGTTGTATTAAGCTGTATTATTCAAACACATTTGTTTTTTTTTTAAATATTGATTTAGTGACTTTAAATAGTTTTTGTGGGCATTTACACTTTTAAATTTTGCATTTTGTCCATTCATTTAAAGGTTAACAGTGTTTTGTGAGCCTGAAAACAACATTTTTAAAATGCCCTGAATAGTTTTTGAAGACATTTATTGTCTCCATGTACACTAAAATAAGGAAAATTTTGTGAAGACTGTTCAGCCCATAGGTGTGTACTTAAGTACTTAACTAGTCAGCTGGTGTCCCAAAGTTTAAGTTTCGTGAACTCATACTTATCAGTTTTTATCACATAAAGCTGTGGGATCAATAGATCATGACACCACGGCTTGACCTTGTGACTAAATTAAACATAAAATTTAATCTGCAGCATTGTGGTAAAGTGGAGTAGATTCACTGTTTGGATTGTTATTTAATCACAATGGCTATTGCAAACAATTATGAATGAAACTAAGCAAATCATTTTGGATTTTGACCACCATTGAAAAGAAGTTACTTTTATTGATACTGTAACTAAATTAAGTGCAGAAACAAGAAACATTGGAGGGGATTACTCTAGGGCTGCATGATGTTGGACAAAAAACAGACATAGGGATATTTGGAGGGCAGCACAGTGGCTCCCAGCAAGAAGGTCACTGGTTCGAGGCCCAGTTGGACCAGTTGGCATTTCTGTGTGGAGTTTCCATGTTCTGCCCTTGTTCCCATGGGTTTCCTCCAGTATTCCCCAAATTCTAGAGACATGCGCTATAGGTGAATTGAATAAACTAAATTGTCCGTATTGTGTGAGGTTGTATGGGTGTTTCACAATGCTGGGTTGCAGCTAGAGGGGCATCCACTGCATAACACAAATGCAGGAATAGTTGGTGCTTCATTCTCACGTGGTGACCTTTGAGATAGAGAATAAGCCAAAGAAAAATGAATGATTGGGATATTTTGTAATTCTGATATATCAATATAATATGACTTGAGTAACTGTTTGGAAATAATAGTTTTACATTGATCGGAAGGATCTTTGTAGGCGAGTGTATCTGCATAAAATATACAAAATTATCCAAAAATATGCTAAATAAAATAAGTTAGCACAGATGAAAATAGTAGAATAGAGATAAATAGGAAATAAACATCGCTTTATGGTTTTCGGTAGAGTCAAACAGTATTGAGTAATAGAAATTCAATAATCAAATGTAAAATAAAACTGTATATAGTCTTCTTTGTTAAAAATAATTAAAATGCTAAATTGATAAGTGATTTTTAAAATGATAAAATGGCAAATGAGTTTTGTTAAATCAGCAAACTTAAACTTAAAAATAATGTTTTGTTCTCAAATGGTTTAAATTTGCTTTAAATCTTCCTGTCACAGGCCTTAAAAACACATCCAAGTCGAAAATCTTAAACTGACACAATAGGCCCTATCATACACCCGGCGCAATGTGGCGCAAGGTGCAATGCAATAGTCTTTTGCTAGTTTCAGCTTGGCGCAAGAGTCGTTTTGAGGCGTTGCGCTACGCTGATTAAATAGCAAATGCATTATCGCTCATTTGTGCGCCCATAGGCGTTCTGGTCTAAAAAGGGAGGCGTTTTGAGGCGGACCGCTGGCGCGTTGCTATTTTGAGAAACTAAAATACATTTTTCATTAGACCAAAACAAACCCGGTCTAAACTCCGGCGCAGAGTTGCACCTCGCTTATACACTGCTTAATACGCACAAGAGAGTAATAGGCAAATATCTTTACATATGAAAAAATTTAAATATTAAGGGTATATATAGTATATAATAAGAATAGATAGAATATAAATATAAAGGATTAAAATATTACAAAACATTATTTTCTAGCCTACATAAATATGAAAAATCACTGCTTATATGTCTTCTTCATCTCGGGAGGCTTTTTCAGTTCATTCATTATTAGCTGTATAATTTAATATATCCATATTTATATTTGTTTTATTAAAAACAAGCTTAGATTTGCCCACCTGTCAGGTTTTAGACCATATGGGACACAGCATGTGTTTTAGGATATAACTCAGGTTTTTGAGCACACTTCGTTATTATTGTTCATTTATTCGTTTGCTGGAAATTAGAACTGAATTTAGAAATAGTTTTGAAACAAATATTTGCGCTTAACAAACGCAATGAATTATTTATAGACTAATTGATGTCTGTGCGTAAAGGTTTCCCTATACAAGAGCGAAAGTGAAAGTAGATCCATTATCTCTCATTCTCACGCAGTAGATGCTCTGTTTAACAGTTTTCTGTTAAAAAAAAACTGTTAACTGTTTGCTAGTGAAATGCTATTTTTTTCCACTTAGACTTACTTTGTGTCCTGTAAATAGCGAATGGGCTTATGGCGCAACGCAACTGGCTCTTTAAAGGGAATGGGAGATGAGACTCTAATTGGTTTATTCTTAAAACACACCCATAACTCATTAAGAAAATAAACTCAACCCTTTTAGACCATGCGCCACGGCGCAAAGCGGATTTTCCCATTTTTAAATTAGCAAAAACGCGTCCTGACACGCCCTGAAAGCGTTTGCGCCCTGCGTTTGCGATCTGCGCATGGGCCGTCAAAATAGAGCCCATCGACTCCACGAATCATGTCTTCTGAAATGTGGTTCCTGGTTAATTATAATCCCAACTTGACATAGCAGATTCTGCAATGTGACTTGCTGATTTACACATTGCGATATCGATGCTTAATCAATATATTATGCAGCTCTAAATCACACCCCCTGTTATTTGCACATTAAGCATAGCACAATATTGATTTGACACTCCTTTGTCTTCTAGTGACAGTTCTGGCCATCTTCAATGAGCTGCAGGTGGATGCGGACCTGTACGCTCTGCTGTTTGGAGAAAGTGTTCTGAACGATGCTGTCGCTGTCGTACTGTCCTCGTAAGTCTTGTGATTATGAATATATACTGTTTTTTTTGTCGATTCATTCCTTAATATTATTAATTCTAAGAGATGACAGTTTTGGGTTTCTATTTACGCAGTGTAAAACAAATAATTAACACTTTTCGTTTAACACCCGATTCTTCCTCTGCTGGACCTCTCATCTGCTCCAGCATGCTGCTTTATTACGGGAGGCAAAGTGGGGCGGGGCATCACAGCCCTGGAGGTGTGGCTTATGCAGAGGGCGGGAACCAGACACAAAGACCGCCCCTCAATGGGTGTGCCACACATGTAGAGCTTTGAGACTGCAGAGTGACCTATTAGTATGTGCATTGGCTGGTCTGTACCAGTACATGCATGAGCAAATGACCCAAAGAAATGCTTCACACCAGCACCTGTAATTATTTGATCCCTCCATTTACTTAATTTTCTACCACATGTAGTTAAGCTAAATAAAATCCACTGGTTATGGAAGGTGTGTGGATGGAGCAGAGCTGTGGGTATTTGCTGTTTGGATGATAGCCATTTGCTTTATAGTTTGAAGTGATGCTGTGCTGCTTTAGAAAGTTTTCTCTTCTTCCCACTTACTTCCCACCTCTGTAAAGAATAATGTAACTTAGCATGTGATCCAATGGTTTGGACTTTCAGAGCATTACCCTCAGGGCTTGACATTAATTTTGTAGCTCACCAGCCACTGTGGCTAGTGGTTTTCAAAGTTTCTAGCCATTCAGCATTTTCCCCTCACTGCAATTTAGTTTTTGGGAAATAGAGCTGTGCGATTTGGGGAAAATATCTAATTGCGATTGCGATTTGATCTATGATTTATTTTAAGCTTCAAGCTGATTTTAATTTAATCCAAGCTTCAGCTCAGTAATCAGTAAGCCGTGTTACAATTCTGCCACAGATAACACAATTTCGGCACAATTTCCTTGACGTAGGGTGTCGTGAGAAGTCGTAAATGACAAATGGAATTCGTGACACAAGATTCAATTATTTATTCTTATGTAATGTGGCGTAGTTCAGCCGATACAATGTCTGTGATGCCTCACAACACCATCGCAGAAAGTCAAGCATGTTTAATTTTCTGAAGCATAGCGGACGAAGATATTATTCGTTATTTTTGTTTACATGTATACATATATATATTTTATATTTCAGCCTTTAATTAGTTAATTTATGCGATTAACTAATTGAAACATTTCAAATTGCGATTGCGATTCAATTTTGATTAATTGCACAGCCCTAATGGGAAATAAATCTATATATAATTAAAGTTTATGATAAAAATATAAATGTAATGCCACTTTATACAGCTAATGCATGGACCCAATGTACAGATACACATGTGCTATTTTCCAACTGTTAATGTTCACTCAAGGAATAACTCCCTGATTAAGATGGGTATTTTTACTGTGCCACACACCAAATCCACATGCATTAATATCAAGCCCTGTCAACCCCAATCCTAAGAAAAGCGTGCATTTAAATTAGGCTGCAAAACTCCTCTTCCTCATATTTAAGAGCAAAATATATAAAGCTTCCTCAAAGCTAGTTCTTTTCTAGTTTATTTTCAGTATGTTTTGCAATTACTTTGTTTCCGCATGTTTTAGCAGCACTTGTTTGATGAATTGCCCTATTTTTTGGACTTTAATTTGCTTTTTTTGATCTCCTGAATCTGCTGTGAAACACAGTACATTCCAAAGTGCCTTATTTAAAGAACAAAGGTGATATAATATGATTTACATCAAGTAAGCAAAATGTGCGCACAGCAAACGCATTTTGATTCAAATGAAAGAGGCATGTAAGTATTTGTGTATTGCATTTCTTAGTACTCTCACCACAAACATACCAATATACTAATAATGATGTTAGGAGTGTAAAAGATCAGTGTAGTTATATGAATAAAAAATTATTTTCAAGAGATTTAGTAAAACGTACGGTTTAATGAATAACACGGTAAGTAAAAAATATGATGAATTACTGATTTAATGCGTACATCTTGCTAACAAATGAATTGTGGACACAAAGGTTTTTCATGTGGTAAATGTGACGCGGGGTTAATAAGTTTTTTATTTAAGTTTATTTACATTTTAACTCATTTTAAACATCTTTTTGTATGGGTTGAAATATAGGACTTTACTATCAAAAATTGGCACATCTGGTCAGTTTAATAAACAATAAATTTATACATTATTACATTTTTTTAAAAAATTTTGGTGAGGGCAAACAGTAGCATATTTTACATTTATAATTAAATTATGTATACATCATTGCGGCATATCTCCTTTATTTTCTTTTTCTGTGCAATTCTCAATGCAAGTTTGACACAGTATAAATTATTTTCAGTGAAAACATCTGTAATTACAAAGCTGTTAAGAATTAGACAAACCTCCTAAACTCTGGGACCCGGTACTGGGTCTGGGATGTCATTTACTTCCGCATTCTTTACATTTTAAAGGTGCGTACTTACCCAATACCCTCATAAGTGGTTCTGTTCTCTCATCGTTTGGAATAGAATCACTTTTGCGTAGATTATGATCGAGACATTTTTCTTTGTTCTTATGACTACTGACGTGCAGGAACCACCAAAATTTGAAAGGTACACTTTCAAATTTGAGTTTACAAAACAAAGTGCCTCTTTTTAGGACGAATTTATTATAACACAGACAACATATACAAATATTTTAATCACTTTCAACAGTGTTTTATGAAAATTCAAAGGGTTTTCTTTAAAATGATACCAAACTTTTGCATTTACACCTCTGCATGTGGGTTTGGGAAGCTTTTAAATTTGGGTAGGCAAAATCCAGGTGGAAACACCAAAATAGAACTTGACTTTAAGAGGTTCTGGTCACAATTCTGCTCATTTTCCCAATCTAATATTATGACAGAAAATGAGTACACATATGTTATCTGTATTATGACCACAGTCTGGAGACTGGGAAGCAGAACATAGATGATTATCTAGTTTAGATGTTGCCAAAACATTCACACTTTTAAGCCCTGCTCATAACTTTTATATTCGTTGAGTAGCAATTCTATCTGCTGCATTATTGCATTTATTTTCTGTTGATTTTACATTAGATGTTAATACACTGTATGAGTGTGGGTAAATACCTTTGTTCTTTTACCAGGTCAATTGTAGCATATCAGCCTACAGGAGACAACAGTCACACATTTGAAGCAATGGCCATGCTCAAGTCCTTTGGCATCTTTCTAGGGGTCTTCAGTGGTTCTTTTGCTCTTGGAGTGGCTACTGGAATCGTGACTGCACTCATATCCTTTACTGCTTGAATGCTGCATGTTACTTATTACACATCTGTAGAGCCTTTAGTACTTTTTACATGCAAGTTATTTTCGTTGACTCTTTCCCACGTTACTAAGTTCACTAAGCTTAGGGACTTTCCGTTGCTGGAGACGGCGCTTTTCTTTCTCATGTCCTGGAGCACGTTTCTGCTGGCAGAGGCCTGTGGATTTACAGGTAAGCTTCAAACCCGTGAGTCTTTAGAAACTACTTGGAAACATATATATATTATAAACTGCTTTATCTGAATGCTTGTTCCTGTTGTGTTGCTCAGGTGTGGTGGCTGTTCTGTTCTGTGGAATGACACAGGCCCATTACACCTTTAACAACCTCTCTCCTGAATCCCAGGACAGGACAAAACAAGTAAGATTAATGATGGAAAGTGTGCGTGCGTTCATGTGTGCATGCATGCGTGGGTGCGTGCGTGTGTCCAGCCAGCCCCAGGGCTTCCAGTTATTGTCATCCCATACAAAATTGCAGCATTTAATATCTGATTTAAAAAAAAAAAAGCATTGATCTTCACTGCCTGGGTGAGGTGCGATTTAAAAAAATGAGTATTAGACCAAACAAGTAGCACTGCATTAAATATAATTTTCTGAACCATGTCTTTAAATCATGAAAATTAATTTTGCACAAGTATTTTCAGTGGAGTTTCTGCACTAACTATGGTGCCTGTGTTTGAACAGTCTTTTATCTCATTTTACGCTTTAACAACCAAATGGATGCTTAAGTCTATTTAACTGATTATATCTGATTTACATTACAACATCAAAGCTGTAAAAGGAACCTTATGAAGTTGAAAATAATCATATAAACCTTTCACTAGAAGTTCATCATTGATTGAAAAACACTAGCTGTGCATATAGTTCATTATCTGTCAAATGACAAGGATAACAGTTTAAAAGTATGACCGTGTCATTGTTTACAAGATCACCACAATGCATGTGCCACTGGCCTAGAAATATATGTGTAAGATTGTTAACCTATGTAAAAAACTGGAGAAACTGATGTAACAACTTCATATATTTTCTTTTTGCTCTTTCTATTAAATGTAATGCTTTTACTGCTTAACTTGTCAGAAGTGAATATTTCTTTTCATTCTGTGAAGTATCTTTGTAACATAAACATCTCACTATGATTTCATGTCACTGTGCTCTCTTACAGTTATTCGAGCTACTGAATTTCCTGGCTGAGAACTTCATATTTTCCTACATGGGCTTGACATTGTTTACCTTCCAGAACCACGTCTTTAACCCGATCTTCATAGTGTGCGCATTTGTATCCTAAAACTTCATCTTTGTGGCTTGGCCAAAAATAGCCAGAAATGAGACAATAGTAAAAATACTCTCAGCAATTGCAAAACATGTGGAAAATCTGATAAAGTACTATTATTAAAAGCCACATATTTGCTCACGTTGGAAGGCAGTACTTTGCTTAAGCGCCATCAAGGAAGTGGCTGGCTGTTGTTGAGTGATATGTCCAGGGTGTTACAGCTCATTGTGTTTCCCAGAAATCAATGGCCCAGAACTGTTTTTTTAAATTAACAGAGTCCTCAGGAAGGGCACAATGTCCTGGCTCCGAAGGGATTGTAGATGCAGTCAGTGCAGTATTAGCTTTATTTCTGCAGTTTCTCCTTGACACTTCTCCTCCCAGCTGGCCGTGTTTCTGGGCAGAGCGGCGAACATCTATCCACTCTCTTTCCTGCTGAATTTGGGCCGTAGAAACAAGATCAGCTCCAACTTCCAGCACATGATGATGTTCGCAGGTTTGTGCCTTGAGATTGGTAATAGCCAGCCAAGATTTAATCTTTGAAGAGAAACAAGGTAAAAGCCAAAAGTCGTAAGGTTAAGTGGGTTAGACTTGAACCAATTTTGTGTGTTTGTTTTTCTTGATCCTGAGTTGATCCTGAAGTTAGCTTCCAAATTCAAATCTGTTTAGTTGATTAATAGTTTGAAGAGTGAAAACTCAATACAAAGCACTTCCATATGAGATCTAAAAATGAAAGTCATTCTCTGACTATTATGAATGAAAGGTAATTTTTTTTTCAATTTGACTTATACGGATGTAGATTAAGAGGATAGTTCAGCCCAGAAAATGTAATTCTTATCAATCATCAGCTAGGTGTGAACTTTTGAAATTACATAAAGTGTGTTTGGCATGCTATCCCTAGAGAGAGCTATGAGCTCATAAGATCCTCAAGCCCTGGACTCCCTCCTGTCAGCAGGGCGAGAGGTGAGTTTGAGCTCTGGTAGATCTTAATGAACTCCCCCGACTTATTCCTGGCTAATGACAGATAAAGGGACGCTAAAGAGAGATATACAGCTTACTAAGAGTTAAGCTATGATGCCAATTTAGAATGTTCAATTTACTTTGGTTGCATGTTTTTGGACTGTGGGAGGAAACTGGGGAACCCGGGAAAAACCAACACGAGCACAGGGAGAACAAGCAAACTCTGCACAGAAATGTGAACTGGTTCAGTAGGGACTTTAACTTGTGACGTTCTTGCTGTGAGGCAACAGTGCTAATCACTGGTCTGCTATGTTACAAAATCTAGAAAGGAGAAGGGAGTAGGGTGGGAGGGATTTCAAGATGAAGATACTGAGGTAAGAAACTCTGGTTATTTATAGTGAATTAGGAATCATCTGATTGGTGAATCATGTGTTAGCTAATGCAGGACCAGCTGTGGACAATCATAAGCACATGATTAGTTTATAAATAAACTTCACTTAGTCTTCCTAAACTTATGTTTTTTTCCAAGATATATTAAATCATGATTTAAATAAAAAGACTTTCCATGTACAGTTGATGTCAGAATTATTAGCCCTCCTGAATTAGCCCCTTTCCCAATTTCAGGTAAACTGAGATATTTTTTTTTTCTAAACATAATAAATGTAATAACTAATTTAACTGATTTATTATATCTTTGCCATCATGACAGGACATAATATTTTACTAGATATTTTTCAAGACACTTCTATACAGCTTAAAGTGACATCTAAATGCTTAACTAGGTTAATTATACAAGTTAGGGTAATTAGGCAAATCATTGTATAATATGGTTTGTTCTGTAGACAATTTAAAAAAAAACATTCTGCTTAAGCGGGCTGATGATTTTGACCTTGAAATGTTTTTTTTTTAATAAAAACTACTTTTATTCTTGCCAAAATAAAGATATAGGCTTTATAAAATAAGACTTTATGCCGAAGAAAGAATATTACTTGAAATGCTGTGAAAATTTTCTTGCTCTGTTGAACATCATTTGGGAAGGATTTGTAAAAAAAAGTAATAATTTGGACTTCAACTGTATGTAGTTTCTGTGTTATTAGTTTCAACTAGTGGAATTACAAAAATAAAGTAGATTTTCACAATTGTTGTGAATTCCCCTTAGGCTTATCATGCTCTTTCTTTCTTTTTCCTACCACATTTTACTGTTTTATGATGAGCTTGGCAGTACAACGTATACTGCATATGGGTCAAAAGTTTAATCATAATAGGTTAGCATCAATATTTAAACTTTTGCGAGAGACAAACCCATGAATTGTCTACTTAAAATAGTCACTAAACAGATAACTAAGTTAGGAAAATTATTTGTGATTGAAAGAAAATCTACATTCTTGACCTTAAACTGGGTCAACAGGTCAGATTTGCAAAAAAACAACATGTATCATATATGTCAACCAATTATGCAGCCTTTTTTGTTATTGCTCTACCTCTCATTAGGTCTTCGTGGTGCCATGACTTTTGCCCTGTCCATCAGGGACACAGCTACATATGCACGGCAGATGATGTTTTCTACCACGCTGCTGGTGGTCTTCTTCACGGTTTGGATCTGCGGTGGAGGCACAACTCAGATGCTGTCCTGTCAGAAAATCCGGTCAGTTCCAATCTCACCTTTAGCCTGAACGACCTTTTCCTGTCATGTAACATACGATGGGAATGAGTAACTCATTAAACGTGGCCTTTGTTCTTGTTTTTGTCCATTTCTGTGCACAGGGAATAATATGTAGACATCCCAAGCCATTTAAAACTTGGCTCTGAACTAATTAGACAGCTAAAATGCTAATTAGAAAGGGATGAAATTCAAACAACTTTTTCTTGTTAATTCCTGGTCAAACCAAGGATGTATGCGTGTGCGTGCGTGCGTGTGTGCGCGTGTGTGTGTGTTTGTGTGTGCGCGTGTGTGTGTAACAGTACTAAAGTCTTCATCACAGCTATGATGTTAATGCTATAAAGGAACAGTATCTTTTTTTTGTTTGTTTATTCGGTTCATCTTAGTTCAGAAATCATGCATGGATACAATGCACCAATCAAGAAATTATCAGGAAAACATAATTATACACTAAATGATTATATAAATAATAAGGTAAAATATCCAATTTGTTAGTTACAACTGCTTGTTAATGCAAGTTTCCATCTTGCCTTGTATCAACGGTTCAGGCTTGTGGTGGTGGTGTAATAGCTTAGGGGATATGCCTTTCTAAGAGCATGTAAAAAGGCTAAAAACTAAAAAGTTGCAAAGGCTACAGTACATCAGCCTGTACTGAATTTAAGAAGAATTTTAATCAACACTGTTAAGGGGTTTGGGTCTATTGATAATGAAAAAAACACCTGAAGTCTTTCTCCCAAAAGGAACAGAATATTTAGAATTAAAGCAACTAAAGCAAGACAATCAGAATCCTGTTTTAAAGCGCTCAATATTTTAAAGGGCAACATTTTATTATAATTAATAAACAGAACATTAAAGTTGTCTTTATAGTCATAATTATTGTTGTCAACATGTGTTTTGTTTTTGACAGTGTTGGAGTGGACACAGATCATGAGAACTCTGTAAGTGCTTTTGCTCTGGTGTGGACAGGTGAACATTGTCTTATCAGAGCAGATCAGTGTAATGATGGTTTCCTCTGTGTCCGCCTGCAGATCGGCCCTGATGGAGTTGAAAGGAGGAGCACTAAACAGGAAAGCGCCTGGCTGTTCAGGATCTGGTACAACTTTGATCACAAGTATCCTTTGCAGTGTAGCTCTAATTAGCAAACTGCATAAAGACAGAATCAGATGGGAATGAAAAAAACAACGTTATAAGTGTTATAAGCTAAGTGTTATAAGCTAAGAGTGTTATAAGCTAAGAATACATGCATTTAAAAAAGGTAATGTTTCTGCCACTTCCGATAGCGTGAACTCAAAGTTAGGGCATTTTTTCTACCTGCATGCATGTATCAGACTAAAACTTGATTCATTCATGTGGAGATTATTAAATTGGCTGCTGCTCCAGTGTCATGGTTATTTTGGATGTAAGTGATTGCAAGTGTCAACTTTGGCTGGAAAATCCTTAACCCTCTTGACCTACAGTTATCTAAAGCCCATTCTGACCCACAGCGGACCACCGCTCACTGCCACACTTCCAGCCTGCTGTAGTCCTCTGGCTCGCTGCCTGACCAGCCCACAGGCCTATGAGGTTTGTACTGTACCCACATGCAGAGGACAAACAATTATCTGCAGTTCTGACTCTTAATTAGGCAGAACACCAAAGAAACTAGTCGTTTGTGTCTGCTTACTACCAGATAGTGACAGACAGAATCTGTATTTATAGGGACGGAGCCTTCAAACTCATTCTTAATTGCTGTTTAATAGGCTCTAGCAGTTGACTCAAATTACCCCCTCCTAGAGCTGATTAACCAGAGACCTGTGAACAGACAGTGAATGAGGACTGATTTAGTCAACAGAGGCGTGAACACATCTGCTGTTGCTCGTTATTTGTATAATCAGAGCCTATCTGTGGAAGAAATTACGAGTGTTTTCATTACAGCGATTGTAGAGACAACAGAAGAGTTTTACCTTTTTGTTTTTTCAGAAGTTTCACATGCAGACAACAATGTAGTCAAATCCATCCTCATTCTCCTAAATTCACATAAATGCTGCATGATAGGCCAGTAGTTGGTGATGTCACTTTGTAAAGAAACTGCGCATACTATGTACGCACACTGTGTACAGTCCTGAGGACTTTTGCACATAACAAGTTGAACAAACTCAGAAATATAAAAATATAAGAAATATATAATTGATCATTTACTGGGTTCATATGGTCATGAAAAACCTGGAAAAGTCATGGAGTTTTGACATGGCTTTTTCCAGGCCTTTTGGAAAAACAGAAACCCACAATATTTGCATGGAAAACAAATATCTGTATTGTTAAATATAGGTTAGTTGTCTTGACTTCTAAGCTGTCCTTGGCTAATCACAGACTCTCACATTATTAGTGCGGTGTAAGCATAATCTAAATTAATTTTACATAGATATAAATATAAATTGAAACTAAATAGATTGTTGTGTGTTTTACGATATGCTGTAATAAATTTGAACGTGCATTGTTTTTCTTTTACCACGCACATGTTGACATTGCATGAAACCTTAGGTCTTGAAAATCTACTTGAAAATCTTGGAAAAATCTTGAAAAAGTCATGGTATTTTAGTAGTAAAAATATGTACAAACCCTAAATTTAATACATTGAAATATATGCTGTTGGAGCAGCAAATGTTTGAGAAGGCAATGTAAAGAATTTTATTATATCGATGCAAGAATCAATGATTTGTTTTAATAATGTTGGTTCACAAAGTTTAAAAGGCATTTTACAAGCTTTATATATTAATTGACATTTAGAAAGTTGGTTGCTTTGTTGCATCAGATATACGTCATTATATATTCACAACTGATTGGTCAGATTAAACCCAGATTAAAATCTGCTCCGGAAATAGTTAGCAGTGCAGCACAGTTTACCGGGTTAAATAAACCTAATCAAAACAACCTGTCTTCTTAAGCCTGAAAACGTAAGAGTTTGTTCAAACTAAATGCAAACTTGGGTAAAAACCTTATGCAAGAGGCCTCTGTAGTTGACTGTTGATGTTTTTGTAGTAAGGGGACATAATTTTAAGTGAACACATAATATGCACATTTTAGCATTTTAAAATAACTCACATTTCTTTGTGATTTACAGAACAAAAACTAACAAGTAAAAAAGTTTATTGCACTTTGTTTACAAAACTGTGCTTTCTAAGGTTTCCTAAACGTGTATATGAATTGTGTAAAGCTGTGTAAATATAATTGAAATTTTCATGTCTTAGATTTTGATAGCCATTTAAATGTTATTTCTTCTTAAATTTCACAAGCAATGCAAAAATCTTAAATTATATCAATATTATCCCAAAACATTTTTGAAAGTTAGTGTTAATTGACTTTGTTTTAAACATCTAGTTCTCCTGATTTGAGACACAAGTGTTCAAAGAAACCACCAGCAGGGCATATCATTTTTATTGCACATCATAGTCCTCACATTTTTTATAGCAAGCAATTATTGTGTTACACAAGAATTGTAAAGGCAGGGCTTGACTTTATTGATGTAGAGTCTCAGATCTTATAGGCTAGAAGTTTCTTAGAGAAGTTACGTGAAATGTTTTTTTTCAAGAGAAATACAGTTGTTAAAGCACTTTTAAATTTTTAATTACATTAGTAAATACACAGACATCAGATCATTGTTGGTCTGTTAGCTCCATAATTCTGTTAACTGAAACTTTATAAAACATGATTATATCAAAATATTGTTTTTATGCATTAAATATATTTTTCATGTTAACTAATGTAACGTTAACAGATCCTTATTCAGAACATTATTGTAAACTGTTTCCTAGTTGATCAATGTAGTGTTTGACTTGCCTGGTTAACTATTCCTTAGTGACCTCTAATAAATGCTTGTCCTCATTCCAGAGTTCACTCTTTATGAAATATATTTTATGGGATGGTGACGATTTTAATTCATAGTGTAAATTTGTTTTTTTTATTTCGATGATGTGACACCTTTTACTGTAGTCATTATCTATGTTATTATATTTTATTATATATAAGAGACTCTACGACTTTTATGCACAGTACCGTTTAAATGATTTGTAAAAATTTGCATAATAATTTTCTTGCTCATCACATTTATTTGATGAAAACTTCAGTTGACTATGTTGTAAAATACCATAGTTTAAAATAACACTTCTTTTGTCATGTATTTACAAATATTATATATGCCTGTGATGCCAAATCTGCTTTTATATGATCATTACTCCAATTTTCTGCATCACATTATCTTTCCTTGTTGCTCAGGAAATATTTACGATTATTATCCATGTTGAAATTATTTTTTCTGGTTAACATTTTTATTGAAGCTATCATACATTTTTATTTAGGTTTTTTGAAGAACACAGAGTTTCAAGTATTTATTGTTTGTCTTTACTGTCAGTTTTGATCAACTTCAGCCTGCGTGATTTTAGCCCCGATTTTTGACTCGCAGACAGGTTTTGAGAAATCGCTGACAAATGCCTAAAATCACAGGCAAGACACTGCTTGTTTACATGAGCAACAATCACACAGTGTGAACGATCAAAGTCGCGATTTAAAAGCTTTTTTTCTTTTGTCTATGTGAATGCAAGAAATAAAGGTAAAAATAATGGAAATTTGGCTTTAGCACCTGTGTGGTTTTAATGTGTCATCTGAGCAATACCAGAACTGGGTCAATAAAGAAAAAAGTTTGAGAGAAATTGCTTATTCCTTTTAAAAGCCGGGTGAGCAAAATAAGTTCATTTTCTACCCCAAAAGATATACTATGTGACCTCACGTTGTAGGGCTGGGTGATTAATTAAAAAGTAATCAAAACTGGCATTCAGAACCTCTAAAAGTGGGTGTTGGGAACATTTTCAGTTGGTCGCAGAGTGTGGGGAGAAAAAAAAAACAACAAAAGTAAACATTTTTACTTATTTTGCTTACAACAGACTTTTATTTTGAAATGCGTGCGTGACAACCCTACCGTTTGACATGTGAAATTTCATTTAATTGTGGCAACAAATTTGTCGAATCGCAAGTACGACCCCAAATATGTAAAGTATGGATATATATATTGATGACAAAAAAGACTTAAAGCCTCAGTGTCATGTGTAGTGAGGTGCTCTCATAAGAGAACATGAAACCTTCTAAATTAAAACAACATTTAGAAACCAGAAAACATGTTTTATTAACAGTTTATTATTAACAGTATTTGTCGTTTTTGTAATATTTCTATAATTTGATCCATTTTTGTTAAAAGACAGCAGTAAAATATTGTTTATTTGTAAGTCTTGGTGAATTTCTTTTGATGTATCTGTCACTTGTTTGTCACTATCTGTCACTATCTGTCACTACTTGTTTATGTTAACAAACAATTACAAATTAATTATAATTCCTAAAATTGTATTATAGTTTCTAAAAATTTGGGTCGCGGCTTGATGACCATGTAAGAATATGGGTCCCATGGCTAAACCAGTTGAGAACCCTGCTCTAAACAATCAAAATTTTCCAGGTCAATTTTTTCAATTTCTTTTCCCACCACCTGTGGAGTCTTGTGAACCCGCTCTGTTTACACTTTTTCGCAAACCCCTCGCCGTGACGGCACTGACGCTGACCTCTCAAAAAATGTAACTACACGTCACAACGACTCATAGCATAAGCTCTGTGATTGATCAGCTTAGTAGCTTTGACGAATGTAAGCAGCACGGAGAGGGCAAAAAAAAATTATGTTAATAAAAGAATCACTCATTAATCGTAATAGAGTTAAAATGTTCAAATAATCGAGATTTCAATTAATCGACAGGCCTAACGCGTTGTTTTCATGTCACTTCTCGTGTATGTTTGGTTGTGAGATGTAGTTTGTGGACCAAAACAACGTTGTCGGCAATTCTTCCTATTATAAATTCATGCAGTGTGAAACCCCGTCACCAATTGCAGTGTAAACACAGCACCGACAGAAGGCTACCCCAGATAGTCATGCAGTGTGAAAATTTCTGACACGACTATTTTGAAAATCGTCTGAACTCAACATTAGTGTGATCTTACTGAAAAAATATAATAATCTTGATTAGTGATGTTAAACAGTTGTATGTTTTTAATCACTCTAACTGTTATTACATTAGGCTCTAGGACAATTTCATGCTTGTTGTAAGTCTCTTTGCAGTATGACTATTCGCAGTCTGACACATTCCCCCCAAAAATTAGGTCACTGTTGTGTGTTTCATTCCAGAATGAAGGCGAGCTGAAAAACGCAGACTCCGATTTGATCCTGAACGATGGTGACATCACTCTTACGTACGGTGACATCGCTGTGAGCACGGATGGCACAGGTGCCCACTCAAGCGGCGTCCTCATGGGAGGAGCAGCGGTGAACTCGGACGAGGCCTTGGATCGAGAGCTGGCGTTCGGCGACCACGAGCTGGTAATCCGAGGAACCCGACTGGTCCTTCCAATGGACGACTCGGAGCCCCCGCTAACTCTGGACTCCCACCGCCAACGGCACAGGAACGAATTCATGAGCTGAATGGGTGACAAAAAAACGAGTCTCTTCTCTCTATCATCTCTCATGCAGAGCAATCTCTCCTGTCTCTGAAGTGGCTGGTTTGATGTCTCTACCTCATTCCTCACTCTTTTCTTTTACACTGAATTCTCAATTATTTATTCACCTCTCTTCTGCAGATTTGTTTTGTTTCTCATTCTTTTCGGCTAACCAGACCACTTGGCATCTGACAGATGGGAAGCATGCTCTGGTTTCTCATGATGACAGAATAAGCATACTTCTAGTGTCTGTATAGCAAGGCAGGAAATTGCCATGCATGCATACTTGTGTCCTCTCTTGACGTGCTTGTTTGGGAGATCTGTGGCACATTCCTGTGGGTCCGATGCTTTTTACTGCCTTCTCTGTTCGTGAGTCTGACAGAGGTGTGATGAACGGTGGCTCTGCGTTACAATCAAGTGCCTGTCGAATGTAATTTCCCTCGCCCTTAGAGCATAATGACACTATTTGCCGTCCACTAGAGGGAGGCCTTGTATTTTCATAGTTTGTATGAACGTTGAGGGCGGATGCCAGAGATGGGGTTGGAGCTTATATTGTGACCTTTGACTGTGAATCTATGAAGGTTTTTAGGCCTTTTTTTGTCATCGTGCTGCCCGGTTAGAAGATCCATTGATATAGTGTAATTTCTGTTTGTTGCTGTTGTTGTTGAAGCATTTTTCTAAAAGAAAACTAATTGCGCATAGCTTTAAGATATTATTATTATTATTATTTTCTATGTAGGATGTTTCAGATCGTCATGTTTAACTACGAATGTCTTGGATTTTACACTATGCGTTGGTATTAAAAGATTCGCCAATAAAAATAGCCCGTACTTTTTTGTAGAAGGGCAATCTATCGTTATGCATTCAGAATCTAAAGGAAAAGAAAATGCTAATGAGACTTGCGCCTTTTTATTTTTAATTTTTGCATGATGTGTTTTGCGGAGAACAGCACAGCCCTCTATGTTTTCTCCTAAAACTTTCTCTAACAAATTGAAAACACTTCAAATATATGTAGATCAGTATAGAGCGTCGCACCGGCACTCTTGTGACTTTTACGTTGGTTGTAATAATGCTAATTGTATACCTGTTCAGATTAATTTTAAAAGGGCTGAATGATTAAAAGATATTTTATGTTCACATCTATAAAATAAAACATGAAATAAGGCATCAGGTTTTGTCTTATTGTTCCAGGCTTGACAACGTGACCTTATCGCAGGCATCTGAAAAATAGGTTGGATTTGTATGACGCTGTGAATTCACCGGTGACGTCTTAACATTTAGACCTGCATCCCAGTTTGCATACTTTAGATTCATAAATATATATGCATATTAGCATTTATGTGATTTGTAATACTTTGGACTTTGTATACTTGCACAATTTGAGATGGCAATTATTAAACAGATGAATCAGATATAACTGAAATTATTCCAAATATCCTGTTTGAAAGTTAACATTCCCTTGGTTGCCTCATCAATCGACTGTGATGTGTACGTACCTAAATATGTGACACAATTCTACATTAAAAAAATTAGTGTATGTTTAACAGATTCTGCAAGGGATGTGTAAAGTTCTGCTACTTAATCCAATGCTGAAGCAAAATGTAATAATATACAATGAAGTAATATTATTCACCTACTTTATCAGTGAAGATTTTACTTCATGAGTGAGCTGTAAGAGCTTCTGACAGTATGCACTGGTGTTTAAGCACTGTAAGTATGGCCACATTCACACTGCTGCTAGCTTTGGCTGTGAGTTCATCTTTTTTTTTATTAAACTGTGGTATGTTCCCACACAGACACACAGATCTGTCATTTACAGAAGTGATCAAAGTAATGGGGAAAAACACAGGTAGTGTGGTTTACAGTCATTCTCTGCATTGTCAACAGAAGTGAACTCTATAGCTATTTGTTAAAGACCCATTTGATTATATAGTTTTAGAAATGCCCCAAAAACATTTCATATTTAGCATTGTCAGAACTTGCTTAACAAAAACATCTCTTGCTAAACTTGGAAACAATTACTATATCTTTGAAAAACATAAGCAACATTCCATAATATCACAACCAGGTCCTACTTACTTTAACCACTCCATAAGCTGGATCCCCAAAGATGCTTAATAATAGATAGACATGGCAACCCTTCAACCCTTGCACTCTGTCGTTTTATTTTCGGCTTAGTCCCTTTATTAATCAGGGGTCGCCAGAGTCGAATAAACCGCCAAATTATCCACATATGTTTTACAGAGCAGATGCCCTTTCAGCCGCAACCCAGTTCTGGGAAACATCCATACACTTTTGCGTTCACACACATACACTACAAACAAATTTAGCTTACCCAATTCACCTATAGCGCATGCATTTGAACCAATGACTGTAAAAAAAATTTGGACTGTGGGGAAAACTGGAGCACCCGGAGGAAACCCACACAAACATGAGAAGATCTAAACTCCACACGGAAATGCCAACTGACGCACCCGAGGGTCGAACCAGCGACCTTCTAGCTGCAAGACAACATCGCTACCCACTGTGCCACCACACCGCCACTCTGTAAAACAGCCTTTCATAAATAAACCACCAGATACTTAATCAAGTGTGTCGTTAGGTACTAGTTATTCAATTCACGTCTGTTGAAAATGCACATAATGTCTGTACATGTGGTTATCACTACCAGCATTTTACCCCATTAATTTGGTCACTTCTGTATATTACTGAACTCTGTGTGTGGAAGCCTACCAAAGGCTCTGTTTACACTGGTTTAGTTAAAACCTTTGAATATTATTGCTGTTTAAAAAAAAAAGCTGGATGCCAAATCACGAGATGTCAACTTGATGTTCACAGTAATGTCAGTCATGGCGTTTTATGGAGTTAGCCATGATCTGTACACACACAGAATGATAATTCACCTCACCTGAAAAATTCACTTTTAAATTGAACTGTTTGTATGTGGCCTGTGTGAATTGGGATGCAGCTAATAATTTTGAGTCATTCTTAATTTCAAGATGAATCCAGTTTATATGGTGCCGTGACCTAAGATGATAAAAAAAAAAAAAAAAAAAAAAAACGAAGAAACACTTGTTAAGGAGCAAGATCTATTGTAAAGCTCAGTCCATGTGTACTGTGTAGTTTGTCTTGCTTTCAATCTGTTAGTGGACTATGTAGAGAGCGCTGTTGTCTGGATGAGAGTAAGAGGGCATCATTAACTGTGGGGCAGGAAGTGTTGATAGGACGCCACCCTGCTAACTGTGTCTGTGCTGGAAAGTTCCACATGGTGTGGAAGGAGAGGATGACGACTGGTCATCAGTGACATCACAGGCCTTCAATATCTCCTGCTGTGCAGGATCATGTGACGGGAGGCCACAGTATTGTAATACACAGGAACAGTGTGTGTTTGAATAGACGCTGCATTGTTAAGCATTATTAGCAGATTTGCACTTTTTCTTTGTTTTGTTTTTTGGCCTTTTATTTGCATAAAAGAAACACATGGTATTTCAAAGTTGCTACAATTCTATATTCTATGTAAGAGCATCATCAGATGAGAAAACGATCTCCAAAACAGATCATGTCACTGCTTTGTCTTTTGAAAAGAAATTAAGACATCTTGTTAAATTGAAATGATGTCCAGGAAAAAAAATGTTCAGTGTCTATGAGATCTGTTTGCTGCAGGAGTGCATGAGAATGGATCTTGTTCCTTTCAGAAGGCACACATGAACTTAAAGGGATAGATCACCCACAAATAAAAGCATACTCACTGTTTACTCACTCTCAAGTGGTTTTAAATCTTTGAGTTTTTTTTCTTTCCTCTGTTAAACACAAAATAAGATGTTCTGGAGAATGTTGGAAACCTGTAACCATTGACTTCCATAGAAGGTTAAACTATGTCAGTGGTTGTCAACATTCTTCCAAATATCTTCTTTTGTGTTCAACAGGAAACAAAAAGAAACTCAAACAGGATTCTGACTGTTTAAGGGGAAGGATAAAGAATGACAGAATTTCATCATTGGATGAACTATTCCTTTATTTAGTATCTGTTATAGATTCACATACTCCTAACTACATTTCAAAAAACAATGTTCTTCCTCTGCATTTGTCTTGCTTTCATGTCCACAAATATCTGAACATTTTTAAATCAAAACGATCTTAAATGCCATGTGATGTTTAAGGGAAAGTTCACCCAAAAATAAAAGTTTGCTTGTTAGGTTATTTTCTCTCAAGCCATCCAATGTTTAAAGACGATTTTTAGCTTAAATTATTCAGCGCTTACTGGCACTTTGAGTCTCGTGAAATGTAATACTCATGAAGAGGACCAGACAGAATCTGCAGACAATTTTTGCTATTTCTGCAGAGAAGTTTGTAAAAAAAAATCTGCGGATTTATGTGGAATGATTTTGGGAGTATCATAACTAAAAACTTAATATATGAAATAAAAAAGATCCTTGTTAACTTTTTCTAATTTAATGTTTACAATGCAAATCCAATTAGATTAACTTATTTGATAAACAAAGCAAGTCTCTCATATAATATGTCTACTAAAAGACAGAAAATATTGATTTACAAACTATATTGCAAATAAGTCATATAAACATTTTAATTTTATTAATTTAAAACCTGAATAAATATAAATGTACACACATTTACACAAGTAAATACATAAACTCGATGGGTTAAAAATCTGCGGATTGCTGCGGGTACAGATTTTGTGTGGGCCTACTCATGACCCTTGATGATGTATTGAGGTTTTATGAAGCAAAACATTTAATATGTTCTGATTATTTGCAGCATTATAACGTTATAGCATTATAACAATTTTGTGTTTGCGGTATATGTGTGTGTTTCTTTTTTATTATTGTTTTCTCAAAACTCAAAATTGGTGATAGTAAATGACTTAAAATGCGACTGTGAGGTGAGTAAATTGACAGCAAATTGTCTTTTTTTTTTTTTTTTGCATTGACAAATCTGAAAAACAAATCTAAATTTATTTTTGCCAGAGGAGTAAGAACAAAATGTCACCAGAGAATGTTGCTAACCCAAACTCACAGAAAAAAAAATCGTAATCTTTAAATTGTTTAAATGTATAAGATGTTTAGAAAAATATTGTGACTGTACAAATGCGATTTGACAAAATGTAAACAAATGCAGTCAGGGATTGCCATGAGATTGTGCTGCAGTAATAAAACATTTGCAAGTCCATTTACTTTTATCACTGTAAAAAAAAAAAAGAAAAAGAAAAAAGTTGACTCGACTTAATATTGTAAGGCAACTTGCTGCTGCACAGCTTTTTTGAGTTGATGTTGCCTTTAGACTTTAACTCAAGCTCTGCAGCTGAGTCAACTGAAAAAAGCCGTGTAGCAAGTGGCTTAAATTTTAAGTTAAGTCAGTGTTTTTTACAGTATTGTATTTTCTTTCTACTATGGAAGTCAATGCGAACCAGCAACCGCTTGCAGGAGGAAAAAGAAATTCAAACAGGTTTGGTGTGACACAACATGAGGATGTATTTCCCATCTCCTTAAGAAGGATGTCTTGATTTATGAATATTTTTAGATATTTTTACTAAAACAAAAGACAAAAATTAGGGAGAACTTGCTTTTTTGAGAAGTTCTGTACATTGTTACAGAAAAGAATCCCACGTATTTAGGAGTGTGATTTATTTTGATTAAATATTTATTATTTTTAAACACAATGTGCTCCTCCAAATATACTAATGAGAGCTTCATTGTCAGAGCGAACATACCTGTAAGTCCAAAGTAGCAGAAGCAAGTTGAATGGGCTTTATTGGTGGTAAATGTGATGTCTGTACAGGTACGTAGCTGTGTGTTAGTCACACTATGTGCTGTTCTACTCTAAAGTGTTGCAGGTACTGACTGTTTACATCAGTGTAAATATCCTCATCTGTTCATGTGTGTGCAATGGTCAATAAACTGAAGCCTGTGCTTTCGATTACACAAGCTTGTGTAATGATTGGCTGTCTTATTTACAATTTTAAAGTTGTTTTAAAACTTGAATTCCGCTAAAACTCTTTTCTTAGGCTTTGACATCATTCCTGAAGCAGCTGTTTGGAAGCTGTGTAAATGAAGTGTGTGTGACGCAACAGGGCTAATGGCTCATAACTAAAAGGCACATTTGTTTTATTTTCTGTTAAAACACAAAATAGCAACAAGCACCATGGCAGT